CTCTCTTGTTTAACCTCGGTATTGTCGTTTACATTATTAAATATCTTTTGCCGTCCAAGGTTTCCAGGCGAAACTTTATTTACTACTTTTATTTTACTTTACTTTTTTATTTTATACTTTATTTTTTTCACTTTACACTTTATTAAGTTGACGGCCTGACATTTCGACGTAATCGACGTCTTAAGAGGCTTGAAGGCAACTTGAGATGGTGTATAATACCCGACAGCTGTTGACTCTCTAGCAAAAAAACCGATTGAAACTCATCGGAAAACTACCAACTTTATGAAGTAGTCACCAGGCTTTATCAGAAGATAGAACACGCTGTCGAATGCGACTGTCAGTAGCGAATGAAACTTCTCGATGTGTCCCTTTTACTGATAATGGGGATCACATTACGATGCTACTCACCACGAATCACAGCTCGCAGAGCGGTAAGAATGACAAGAGGTCCCTGGTTATGGACGAACACTCATCTTTATTGTTCATCTTGGGAGCCCTTTGCAGAATGCAAACGCCTCTAACGCCACTCCAACTGAGGCTTCTGTCTTCTCCGATAATGTCGTGCACTTTACTTCAAAATTGTCGCATTGTGTTCTTTAACTTTAATCCGACCTAGAGCTGTTAAAAGTTTTTCGCGCTTCACACTAGCGAGATGTTCTTTTATCCGTATCGCAAGTTGTCGTCCTGTCTTGCCGATATAGATTGATCCACATGCCCGACGTTCTAGCTGATAGATCACGCTTATAAGTGGGCAATCACCTGCTTGCCTGGTCTAGTGCGATTCACGCGTTAATATTATGAGGTCATCTCGCGTGAAGGGCGGGGCCTACGGCGGAGCGGTGTCATAGACGAAATGTGCTATAACACCACGTTTACATTCATTATGGGAAAAATAGGAACTTAAAAAGACAAAAAAATGATCAACTATGCATGTTTACAGGAGGCTGCGTTCAAGAGGACCGAAGCATTTCGAAGTTACTTTTACTTTGAAGGTTTGACAGGTAAATTGGTGACCTAGGAAGTAACTTCTCAACCTCGAAGGAGCTTCACTGCCATAGTGAAGAGACTCGCACTACTTCGTGTTAAAGGCATGAATCAGTGCAAATCATGTTTGGTCCACCTTAACTGGCAGGTACTGAAGCGATCGCATCAAAACACGTACGTAATCTGCCGTGCGCGTGCTGCGCGCACGAAGAGCTCTGATGGGGTAGCGTGTGACTCGCACGCCCCCCCCCCCTGTTTTCCCGTAGAGACATATGTTATGCTATGTTATGTTTATTACGCTGCTAAGGCAAACGTAGTATAAGTTGATATCAACCTTCTGGAACTAAGTTAAATAATGGAGCAAATACAAGAAACACACGTAGATAAAACGTACACGTATAAAGAAACCACATAAAATAAGGCAAATGACTCCTAAGTTAGATATAAAACAAAGGTGAAGAAGAAGAATTGGTCAACCGCAAGGAACTATGAAAGCTCATACTTGGATAAAATTACTTTCACAGAGCGTTTGAACTTAGTTAAGGAATCCGGAGCGATCATGTTATTTGTTACCTTTTTGTAAAGGCTAGCCGCTCTGAATGTGAAACTCCTGGCTCTTATACTGGTTCTGGGCCTAGGGAGATTTATTTTGGTCTGACCTCCTCTGGTTCTGGAGTGAACCATATTATAAAAATCAAAAGAACCAAATTTATTACTATGGTACAATAGCTTGTAAACCATACATACGTCGAATACTTTGCGCCGTGATTCCAAAGTAGAGATTTAAAAGTATTTGTTGCGAATAGAAGCTTTAGGAATTCTAGAGTAGAAAAAACTCCTACATCGGCAAAGGATTTTACGCGTAAAATTGTTTTGCACCTTCTCAAGTGCTTCAACATCCCTTCTCCTAGATGGGTTGAACACAGCAGCACCACTCTCAACCAAGGGCCGAACGTATGTTTTATAAGCTTTGAGAAGTATGTACTTATTGGTGGAAGACAACCCCTTGAAGATGTGCAGTGTACGCACTGAGGCCAGGGTACACCGGGTTCTGATGTGTTCAGAAAAGTCAAGTGGGTCAGTATAATGAAAACCTCGGTCTCTCACAGAAGTGACATTGGTGATTGTAACTCCTTCAACTGTATACGGACTAAAGGGAATCTCGGACTTCTGCCAATCGTCATACACTTAGTCCTATGTGGGGCCAAGGGGAGCTGCCACCATTTGGCCGAATCACTTAAGATGGCTATCGCCCTCTGTAGCCGCTCTTGATCCTTCGCTTCAGATATGACCTTGTAAATTTTTACATCGTCAGCATGCATTTTTGTTGTAACATCTAACCCATCAAACAAACAAGGAATCTCAGCTGTATATATATTAAACAATACCGGTGACAGAACTCCCCCCTGCGGCACTCCACTAAGCACCCTCCTACTTGCGGAGATACTCTATCCTACTCGCACTTGGAAGGTTCTGCCGTGGAGGAAAACAGAAATCCAACTTAGGAGGGTGGGATGGAAACACAACATCTTCAACTTATGAAGCAGTCTTTTGTGTACTCTATCGGAGGCTTTCGCAAAGTCAAAGTAAACTATACATGGTACAGTCGTTTGTCAAACACTGTTTATCGTAGAGCCCTTATCTTTTGTATAATGTACCTTATTATGGATGAAGTAGCTCTATTTCGAATGCAAGAACAGAAGTACAGAAAGAATTCCAAAATTAGCGAGGTACGTTGTAGTTCTTTAAGGATCTTTGAAAAGGACAATGACTTTTTCTTCAAACCCTCTTCTGCTCAGCCCTATTTTATACAGACTGACTATTAAGCGGGCCAGATCCGCGAAAGTATTCTGCAATTCAAAGGCAATCTTGAACTCTAACGAAACTTATCTTCCGCGCTTGTCAGCCTGACTAATAAAATGATACACTGCTGTATAATCCTAACCTTTTCTGAATTTTATGCTCTTTTCAAAATTTGAACTGTCTAGAGGTGTTCACAATAAACCAAGTGGCATCGCGAGCCTTTTGAATATTTTGCACTGATTTTTGAATTTTTACACTTTTGGCCTACGCTGGGTTCGTAATCATTGCCAGCATGCATTGTTATCGCGAATTCAAAAAAAAACGCAGTGTATCTTATTACGTAGCTTGTCATATTGGGAAAAGTTCAGAGAATGAAGTTTTTCGGCATTATCCAACCTCTTCTCGCTCATTCGATTTCCATTCGAATCGTAGCAGCATTTTGAATGCGTACATGGCATACAGGAAGTGGCTAGCCAATGTTAAAGTCAGGGTTTATATGTTGTCGGATGCATCTAGTCCCGATTAACTGACCTTTGAGAGAAGGGAGATTCTCCTAGCCCGGTCAAGTGTCAATAAGAAATCCGATCCTCGGACTATTCGTGAGTGATTGTGCGCCACTCGCTACCACACATCATTCTCCTGCTAATATGCAGCTTCAACATAACACGGCACAAAGTCGTCTTTTCGCAGGAAAATGTAAAGATGCAAATCTACTTTTCATATGGAGTCAGAAACAGCCCTGTAAGTCAGAAACAGCCCGTTATTCCCAACTTAATCACCGAGTGCGTGAATGAGATATGTGACAATGCCTTTTTGCCTTCCTTCCTCCTTCTCCTTCATAATCCTTCTTCTACTATTCTCCATCTCTGCCACTGGTCAACGTGTGCTGCGAGTGTTCAAAACGTCTCGTAGAATTTGGGTATTTCTGTCACATTAGCTTCACCCAGTTGACTCACTTCGAGAGAGTGGTCGACTCGACAGGCTTCGTCTTAGCATCCACCATGTGACGAATTTTGAACTAATAGCACATCGATTTGACACGCTCTGGGCAAACAAAATGGTGATGAAATGATTTAGTAAACTACGTCTTTCAGAAGCCACACCGAGAGGACACTCTGTGCTATGAGTAGCGTGAGTTATCTCTCCGTTAGTCTGCTCAAATGTTTAAGTTCAAAGCTACGGTGCATGCTATGAGAACCGACGATTATTATGTCACGGAAAGCGTTTAGTTCTTCTGTTGGCATGCCAGATAAGCCGTTACCGCGCTAAGGTCTGCTCGACAAACGATTTTCCACACCTAAACAGGTGATTGTTGGAGAGATCTGTAAGTGTAAGGTACCTTCCGGCCTCATTTAGGCAATCAGGCACATATAAATACTCAAAAATCGAAGACAAGTTTCATATAGGTTTTACGATTGATTTGATTAATTGGAAGCTAACTATAGATTCACAGCTTACAGAGGTAGAAATCACATCAGAATCATCTCATCATTCAAAACAATTCCATATTGAATACAGCACTAGATCACTGGAATAACTAGAGAGACTTGAATGGGTATATAGTAGAATTGATCATGATGGTGCGATGGATTATGGGCAATCTTGTGTACTGTCATACAATGTAGTTGTAAGAGTATTGATCTTACATTATGCTTGGAGTCACGGAGCCACATCTTATATGCAGCTAGTGGGCATGATAGTGTTTAGTGAGGCAACTGTGTCATGAGGTTTGCAAACAGTCATCCTTTTGAATTACACTCTGGATGGCACTGGAGGTTGCTAAAACCTCACTGGTATTGTGAATTCAAAAATAGTTCCCGTAGCTACATAATGTAAGTCAACATTGATGGAACTTTTGCTTTGCGAGCGCTCGAGATGCTCGGAATCAGTGTCGACTGGATGTCTCTGTCTTTCGTTGTGCCTTCGCAAGCTTTGCCGGAAAATTAAGCAGTCGTCCTGGAACAAAAGCGCATTCCAAATCGTATGGATGATCTAGATGTTGCTCTTGAGTAAATATGAAAGAAGTGTGAAATGAAGTTTCAGTTCCAGTAAAGATTGAAGAGTTCGTGAAGAGAGATTATATGCTCCCCAAAGATGGTGCACTGATTAAAAAGAACGTGCCAATCAAAAGTTACGGTTGGAAATTGATTGTAGATGAACAATAGATACAGAAAGCCTCGGAACTTCTCGTTTCAAATGGCTGCCGAAACTAATTAGAAGTGTTGCCTTCCCAAAGTAGGCAGAGCAGGTAGCATACTGGCGGCTGCAAGGCCTCCTGGACTCAGAAGAGCTGCATATCTTTTCCACATCACGTCCATATTCGCTGTATTGCTTGGCATTCTGGAATTGAGGAATTGGTGAAAAAATCCTGTTCTCATTGACTAATCTAATACGGCAGCAACTTGGTTGAGATTTAACTTATGTTCTTAAATCAGATTTAGTCCGCGTGGTGGCTCACATTTGTGGCGAAATGTAAATTATTTCAAACGTGAATCAAGGAACAGTTACCTTCTCAGAAAGGGAATTATAATTCACGAATCAGGAAGCATATGTAGTGATCATAACTAGTCGCAAAAGTGTTAACTCTATGCTATATGCAGTACAGCAGGCTGACTCGCATCTATGATGTAAATTCTTGACGGAAATGGTCAGTCACCTGTTTGGCCTTCCTTCACGGAGAGTCCAGTTACGTACCTTGGCGTTGTTCTTGAGATGACTGAGTATAAGTTTTGTTTTGCTCAACTGGCTCTCCTCAGGAAGAGTGTCCCACTTGAAGTACCTCATCGTAGCTTCCACTACTAAGCGAATCTAAACGTGATAACACGAGCAATAGGCTCGCATTTATAAATACGCTCCATTGTGAATATAATGCATGTATTTTCTGTACAACTGGAAACGTTGCGGTCATCAGCCCTATGAGCGTTTTGCGGTAATCGTTTCAGTAACTTCTAGGTCTGCACTTTTCCGATGGTTGATTCCATTACAATTCATTTAGGATCAAATGACCTTCCTAATCAGCGCAACGGTGGGTACATGACGGCAGGAAGTCGTTACCCTTATTTATTTTGGTGTCGTGTGACAGACCTGGGGGCTTATATGGTGTTGTTGAGGGAGTTGAAATATTGAAGATATATTTCTGCATGAGCCAATCCACCAAACCTTTGGTAACTGCCTGTTCAACAAATGAGACGCTACTTCCCCGTGAAAAGTGCGGAGGCTGATTTGAACGTTGCGCAGTTCTTCATCGGTCACTGACTCGCGGAGAATTTGCCAGGCGAATACCTGAAATGAAACCACTTACTACACACTGTTACCTGTTCAACTTCAAACACATCCGCCTCATATCACATAGTGAAAATATACATAGTTCATTACCTCGGGCAGGTCAACAGTTTTCATACGTTTCAGTGTTGTTGTTCTGTGTGAGGCATTTACTGCTCCTACCTGCACCCGGTTTTAAAATGTCGAAATTGATGCATAACAAAAATTTACGGTAAAACTAGTTAATGCGCATGGGGCGAAGTCGCAAAACAGCGGAGAGCGTTTAACTATTCATTCCGATTACACAGAAAATTTGGCGCTAGAAAAGTGGAGTAAGGCAATTGCGAACCGTACTGCTCCTTATCAATGTTGTTATTAAAATGCGTACTAGAGCAAGTCACTAATCTGAGCCGGGGAGTTCATACAATTCGACAACCTGTTGAAAATGACGTAACAGGAAAGCAATACTCGATATGAGGTCTTACATATTAGTACTATGGAAATCATGTCAAGCACGATCATGATGACGAAGGACCATATCGACCAATGACGAGAGACGATAATGTATTGTGGATTTCGCTGGCATTTCTAAAACGATCAAGTGAGCAAAGGTCAGGCAAAGCAGAGGGGAGAGAGGTTAGATCTTCAACAGAAAAGCACAAAGTAGGGAAGCAACTCAAAGATGCAGAACCTTTGGAGAAATCCTTTAATTTTCTTCTCGTTTTCAGTTCACTGTGCCATTGCCTGCGCTTTGTTGGTACGAACGAGCGTGGAAAAGCAACAAAAGAAATGGGAACCGTTTGCTGCATAAAGAGCAATGCAGTTGTGTGAGCAAAAGATGAGTGCAATTATCATCATCATCATTTGATAATCTCTTGTTCAATGTCTCCAATTCACATTTCACACGTTGAACTTCTTAATTTTTTGGATTGTTCGTGCAGTATTACTAGAGTTGTTAGAATTTGCCTGTTCTATATATTAACGGTGATTACGTGACCAGCCACTACAATAGTTTATCATTCTTTTAATTACCCAACGTTAACGGCAGCTTATCACAAAATAATTTTGTTGCGTACTCATGCAATCCATTAGTTGAAAAGGGAGAACAGTTGTTCAAAGAAACAAGGAAACCTAAGCGTTTGCACATTTTTCTGCATGCATATTCTCAATTATGAGCACAGAAAAAGTTTGAAGTAGAAAGGTGTGAAGTTTTGGGAGTAGAAATAGAACTCGGTGAACCTGTGCAACACAGCATACGCTCTAAAAATTTCAAAGTATAACCATGCGAACACGGCTTACGAAAATTTCCAAAAGAGCGAAATTGAAGCAGCACTCTGAACCTCACCGTGGAATTATGATGCATCCCTTACCGTAACAGAGTAGACCTTAAATATTGACGGAAATGTTTCGTCAAGAGTGCAGTTAACAATGACGTTGAGTGTTCTCCATATACGGCCATTTCTTGGGAGTACCCGAGAAATTTATGGTGGTAATCGAGGAATACTAATGGCAGAAATTATGAAGTCACAACTCGGAAAACGCAGTCATAAATCCATTTACTAATATTTGATCGCTAATAAATCAGGTTCACCTTCGGTTGAGTACTTTGAAAACTCCTAGCAGCCTTTTCAGCTGCTCGTCTCACTGCTCCGTCTGGAAAAGGGCCACCGATTACAGGAAATTTGTCGTTGCTCTGAAACTTCGTCGTTGACGTCAACTGTTTACTGTTTAATGCTCGCTTTCTTATAATTGGCCAAGGAGTAGAAAGTCGGAATAGGACTTTTCATAATTCCAAACCTCCTTGGGAGCAATCTCCTTTCGCTGGTCTTGTTCAGATATATCCTCCTCCACATCGTTCTCATTATCGCCGTCCATGTAAAGATCTCCATCCGACTCATCTTTGAAATCCGTCTTAAAACTAATTTTGCTTTATCTGTAATCATATCCTCTTTTATTATATTAAGCGACCTTGGGCGATAGCACTCTATCAGATGAGGAATTTCCAATCGTTGGAGCACAACTCTTCGAGAAGGCCCTAGTTATCACCGTTCGTGAAGGAGAGGCGAATATACTGGGAAGACTGAAAATAGAATCTCTCCATTATCGCTCAACAATGGCATGAAACTATTTAAGACGATGTCCTACGTTCTTCAATGTACCTAAGAAATGTTTAGAAAAGAAAAAAGTTTTCGTTCGATACTGGCACATCAATAACCTGGTCAATACCTTAAACTGAACGGCTGTTCAAAATTCCCCCTGCGTTCGCAAAAATACATATACATAGAAAAATTGGAGGTACATTCAAACCGAACCCGTGATCGTGCTGCCTTGTCGTTAACAGCTCGATAACAACATTCAGTTTCAAGTCGATATCGTTGAGTCGCAGATCAATTCTCTTTAGCAGCGTTTTAGAATCATGATCGAGAAGGCCTGATGGTAGCTGTGCCATCGTTCGGAGAATTTCGTGGGCTGCAAAAGTTTATGTCGGAATCGTGTGAGGCCGCGACCACCGGTGCGTATGTGTTGTCTGCATTGGCCCCGCCCCTGAAGGATACTGTGCCTGTTCATATTATTCTCGCTGTGACGCCTACTGCATATTTTCGAGTTGCATTGTGGTCTCACTACATAAGTTTTCTGCGTGCCGAACAGATGACCCTAAGTTATTGGAACACCTTGAAGAATTCACACTTCGTTCTCCGCTACGCCATACGCCTCTTTTCAAAGCTCGGAATTTCTGAATTTTTCCCATGATTCGTCTGATGACGTGGAGATGGTACTAGCTCGCTCGAGAAGCATTGACGTGATTTTCGTAAGGCTCGAGGGAGTCTACGGCCATAGGGGCGATGCCTCAAAACATGGAGTGACGTGAAGGAAAATCATCAAATTAAACCAAATGAAAAAATCACAAAAAAAATCAAAAGTCATTTGACCTACTGAACAAGAGTATGTACTTCTTCTACGAGAAACGTCACTTACCGCATTTAATGCGCTAATACGAGTCCTCTCAAAAGGAACCGGTTCCGTGACCCTATTAACAAGGTCGGACTATCCCCAAAGTTTGTTTTCAACGAATTTTAGGGACCCGATATATTTTGACACTGATGCCTTCGGCTAAGCCGAAGGTTTCATTCCCTGTCAACCTACTGTTTCGACGGCCTAATCCGTAGCAGACCACAGCTTTACCACAATTTGTGCTGTTCCAACTAACAATAAGTTAAAAATAAGACTAAAGAGAGCTCCTCTCACGAAGAACTCAGATATGTAGACAAATTTTGATTTTCTTCAATTTTTTTCATTCATCTCCAAGAAATTGAGGACTGAGTCTCCAGGCACCTGCAGTGTTATCTGCATATAAAATACCATCGAAAATCCTCCATTTCAATGATAAGCTTCGTTTTTATTGCTGAAAAGGTGAACAGCACTAAATCGAGGGAAGCATGGAAAGATTATTATTCTTATCCCCTTGATAACAGAATTGTATAAATCTAGCTAGAGACAGCGAATTAATGTTCCAAGCTTCCAAAGGTTCGCGAGTTCTTTTCAGCCTTGTATTCCATATGGAAGACCGGTGGAGAGCTGTGCTCATGGGAGAACCAAACACACAATAAATTTTCGTTTTTTTTTTTTGAATTTTTTGACTCCTTTCTCACGAAAATCTAAGTTTCAGCCATCATGTACCTAATATGTTTCTTTGCAGATGTAACAGCAACAGCAGTATAACCTTGTAACCTCCAGATTCAATTGGAAACCTCGTTCTTAGTTTTTAATATAAATGTGTGGCATTATATTGGAAGAGAGCATGGAATCGTTATCAATATAAAGGAAAATCTGAAAAAGAGAAGGGCAACAGGCCTAGACGAACCACCGAAACTAAGAGCGTTCACAAAGCCTGCTGGAGCTTCACGATCACATGACCTAGGTTGATGGCTCCCTTTTGCCGTCCCGAAGGGACAGCTAATGCATTCCGACGGGCATTGAAGAGTGTCGTATACGACTCTACTCACCTCTCTTTGACAGCCAGAAATAATGTCCTGCCTACATACGAATAGTCAGGATATATAATTTTTTAAATTCTCTTCTCAGAGTGGAATGAAGTCGTGTCGATGAAGAGTTGTACGGCTCTCAGCCCCGATAGAGTTGAACCAGAACATCCAAAAAGCTCTCCGGAACTTATCGTCATAATAGTAGCTTTTACGCGGCACCTGTTGGAATGCAGAGTAGATCACTTGACACTTGGCGCCTGTCGTCCCGTTGATCGTCCACTTCCTCGACCTGGCGCCAGTAACGTCTCCATTCGTCCCTGTCACGAGCCAGAGTGGTACAATGAATCGTCCTCGTTCGTTTGACGCCCCGAGAGATCCAATCAGTAACCGCCCTGGCCCAACGGTCATCACTATACCGCATGACGTGTCTGGCCAACCTGATCTTCGATTTCTTGGCGTAATCAACGGCATCCCTGATCTTCGTTCGTTGACTCGGATTCCCTTCTGCACTTGCGTGCAAGAGGAAATTCTTAGCATCGTCCTTTTAGAAGCGCGTTGAGTAACGCTGACAGCATGCTCATCCTCTTTTTGTAGAGTCCAAGTCTCGGAGGCGTACGTCGAAGCAGGAAGGACTGCGGTGTCGAAAAGGTTAGCAGGGAGCCGGATTTTCTTTGTCTACTTCACTACTCCCTCAATCTTCTTGAATGCTCCCCATGCAGCGCGTTTCCTTCTGCACAGCTCCGGAGCTAGGTCGTTCATCATGTTGACTTGCCGACCTACAGGGTGCACAACAAATATGGGAACAACTTTTCAAACCTCTGCAATTCCCTCGTTTGGAGGGTTTTCTCAAACCTGCACCTTCCGTTATGTTTATGATATACCTTAGCCCACATATCAACTCTGGTGCTCTCTATTCGCCAGACTTCAAAAAACGGTGGGCCTCGCAGATATCCACCTACCGTTCCGTCTTTGCGCGCATTTGGTGACTCCTTTTTCGGGATTGCTCCTCATTTCATTATATCCCACATGACAGTCTCTTGAATCACGATGCGTAGACAGGTCAACGTCAAAACTCAATACGGTCGTGTTGTCTCACATACGACTCTTCTTTCGAATACAATTGCTTGGGAAGGAGTACGCCGCGGAACCTGCAGAAGCACGAGTAAAATGATTGCTGATTTGTCCGTATGTTCTACTCCGGTGAATAGAGTCTACACCGAGTAAATACAAAGGTATACAGATAGAAACCGGAAGCCTTATAAGCTTCTTGTTGAAAAAAAAGTTGAAAAGAGAAAACAAGTGCCGCGCACTACACGCGCGCGCGGCACGAGCTTCCCCACTTGTTTTTGGCTGAAGGGTGTTCAGCGTGGAAGAAGGGTCGAGATCCCAGAGTTAATGAATATTTCATACTGCGACTGCTGAAGCCGTTGAGAAGAGTTAGATCGCCTCTCGTAGCCGTTTTCCCTGTTTCATGATGGTTTGCGCTAGAATCTTTACCATTAGAGCATTATCGTCAATTTTAGAAAAGAAGAATACAAAGTTTAGTCCGTATGAAACGCCTCCAACTCCTCTTCTCCGTAGCTTGAGGTTGACGCGTAGTCAACGAAAATTTCTAGAGCTGGTGTTGAGCCACATCTTCTTAATCGCAAACGTCTGATTCGGGTTGATAGCCTTTCGTGCGAATCGATGCTCATGGCCAAGTGCGTATTGACGAGGACACCTACGCCGCCGACACCTCTGCTGTCGCATGTTCCAAGAAACAATTCTTCTCAAATCTCAAACAGCGTGCAGCGTTCGACGCCTTCTCGTCTCGGTTAGTTCGTTGACGTCGTACTTGATCTTCCTAGCTTGCATCATCGGGTCTTTTATACACGCTTCCGATGCAAGCGTCCGTGCGTTGAAAGTACAGATCGCCATCTTGGTCCTTCTCCTTTTAAGCAGGCTGTTTTTGCCCTGAGATTTTAGCAGCCTCCCCCGAGCGGTCCTACCCAACGCTTCCTATTAGGGGCTCCCTCAGGTTCACAGGAATGAGGCCCATTTCTATTACTGTTTTCGGCATGTAGATACCCAACGTGAAGCTTGCCAGGCTCTGACGTGGGGGCTAGGTTGACTCCTGGATCTTGCCAGGCTATTCGTAAGTTGGAGTGGACGAGGATTTTTGCTTTTGGAGGCGGCCTCAAATCGCCTTCTAAAAACTTCCCAGCCACTCGAATGCAAGCTTTAGGCTAAATCGATGGGTAGGATACCAACTGCACCCACAGACACTCCACACACGTATGGTTACACCTGCGAAAAACAGAAGGTATATAGACCAGCACAGCAGAATTAAAGAGTCTATCCCCTAAATCCGCCTGCGTCTCTGATCAAGTACCGGTGACTTTTGGTCGGCGATTAATTCCCCTACCTGCCACCTGGAGACGCCCTACGTAGCCTCGTCACTAACCGGCTGGGAATCCTTCAGTGAGGATGAGCTCAGTGAAGGAGATCCGTAGTAGCAAGTAGATATGATTTGAAAAAATAGCAAGACTTACTGCTGTATAAGATGGGAGATCTGAACGATATTGACAGCTATGGCCCAATCTCCCTGTTGCATATAATCCTAGTTAGAACCTTCGTACGAGCCAACCAAGTTTCAAGAGGGCTCTCGAAAGTTATTGTCAATATCATAGATATGGGATACCAATTGTTGAAAACTAGCACGATCGGGAGTGACGCAGTATCGGATGAAGGACAGCCATGTTGGTGAACAAGGTCTGGAGACGGTCCATCTCATATTCATAGTGTCAAGAGACACACTGAAGTGTCGCGAGAATACAGGATGCCGTTACATCCTACGTCCATCGACCTGAGGAAGGTCCTTGAAGCCGTCGGAAGGAAAGCGTTTATTCAGACCCCGTCAAATCAAGTAATCCTACTCAGTACACAAATGGATTTCAACAGCCACCACGTGGATCACATTGCGGGCAACAACGTTCTCATAGCACAGAACATGGAGTAGTCGGAGCGAGTGCTGACAGAGTTAGATAATGAAAGGTCGACTTGCAACTGAATGTGACGAAGACGATGTTCATACGGATTCGTTTTCGAAGTTCCTTCGGTGCTGAATGGAGCAAATATCCGTGGTTACTCGAGCAACGTGTAGTTCGTTTAGGAAGTCAAAATGATGAGAGATCTAGTTTGAAGCCGAGCAGAGCTAAATGGTCGACCTGAAGAGCATTTTAGAACGTCGAGCAATTAGTGAGAAGAGCAAAAAACCTCGGGCTCAGTGCCCCTTTTTTCGACGTTACAGTCCTTCGTGTGCTGACATGCACCTAAGAGACTTTGACATCAGTGGATGTGCAAATCCGAAGTTCCGAGCTGTGCCAACGAACAGAGAAAAGAGACATTGTTGTTCATGCCGAGGGATCGATGGTTAGGTGGGCCACACACGTCTTGCAATTTTGTGGTGAACGATGAACATAGAGGT